TGGCATTCACTCAAGTATGAGAGGTTCATATTTCAACCTGCGTCAACCCAAACTCAGCACATCCAAGATTGTGGACAATCTTTTCTGGCTCAGCACAGTGCATACTGGAGGTGAATCATCCATACCATTCATTAAGGTGAAACACAAAGCCCCACTGGTGCACAGACCCCGTGCTTGGACCTCTGCGAAGGACAGTGAGACCCTGACCGTCTCTCCTGCAGCCCGCTCTCCAAACAACCGTGGATTGCAACTGTACCTGGTCCTAGCTCAGCTCTCTGAGGTGAGGGGAGACTTCTTGTTCACCTCGTCCCGATCTGCAAGGAACGACCAACAACCTCGCCTCTACAACGAAACAAAAATACTTGTCCAAATGGTTTTTACCTTCCCTCTTCAGCATGGGATTGTGGGTAGCTGTCACGCCTAATTTTGTAGATCTCTTTGGCCATGAAGCTTGGAAGCCTTGTACATCAGTCATCCAGGAGAAAGTCCAGCCAGCAATTACAGACACCTCTATGTGGTGGGGCACCGTAGGAATGGCAGCCTGATTTCCCTGTTTTTCTCTGGGTGTTGGTAATTCTTACTATAGCTCTTGAAAATCTTACTGAGAACAAACATAACTAAACTGCACTGTACTTTGTAGACTAATGTTTAATAAAGTTACAAACTGTGTCTATTTACCATAAACCTATCTCTCCTAAATGAAAGCTTAGTGGGCCAGTAATGAACAGTTTTAATACTACTTTCCCAGATTTCCTTTTCAGTCATTTCAATGTGGAATTGGCATTCATTTGAATTGCCAGTGATGATTAGGTTCAGACTAAATAGAAACATTTTCTTCTTCCAACCTACGGCTTTTCTGAACAAACTGACTATTAAAACATGATAAGCATTTATTTAATTGCTTTCTGAGCAAATCCTAAGCCATACAACAGCATGGAGGTCAAGAACAGAAAATCTCTGACATTTCAGAATGCTATCATTAGATGAGACCTTGAGACATCTGTATGTGTATGTTAATGGCTGTTCTGCTTTCACATATAATGACCTATTTCTCGTAGAAGAGCTAATATCTATGAATTTTTCATTTGCTGCCTAGTAGATTTCAATAAAAACTTAAGAGGTTTGAATTCAGTGTGTGTTTCATGGATTACTACTCTACAGATTTTTTTCAGCTGCTTAAAAGTAACAATATGCAGAGAATGCACTGGCCTGTTTTATACCTCTCTCTCAAAAAAAAAAAAAAAAAACCCAAGAAACACATTCTGCTGTGTCAGAAATCCTGTTTAAGTATATAAGGGTTTATTAGTTTTTTGATGATTTTGGTCATTATTAGATGAATAACCCCAAAACATACAGTATTAAATGTAAAAATAAATTCCATCTCGTCTGAGCCAGTGTTACTCCAGGAGACAGAGTCCATGTGCATGTACTACATACATCATCCTAGCTGTCAGAGCAGGGCTCTAACGTTCAAGTGATTTAAGATTATAGATCATAGGCCACTTGCTTCCCCTTAAGTAATAATAATAAATACACTAATGCTTTTAGTGTCATTGTTAATTCCTTATTTGTGAACACTCAGAGACAGGTTGAAGTGCTGTGGTTTGAAGATGGGATTTGAAGATGAGCTGTGCCCGAGGAGAACAGTGAAGTCTAATCTGTGTGCTTAAGGCACCATTGCTTCGGTGTGGAAGATCAACGCCTCTCCCACATATAAACACAATCAATGGAAGCTTTAAAACAAAGTTTTGTTTGAGACAGACATTTCCCACAAGCAGCAAGGACTAGATTTTCATTAATTTTTCTCCATGCTAACTTCCACTTTGTCTTTGCTGCTTGTCTGATAAGGACTCATCCTTTCTGGTTTTAGCTAACACCTTATTTAGAAAAGTGTCATTCAAAGGTAGATATGCAAGTTCTGACACAACACATCTACACACGTTAAATGGTAGTAATTCCAATCAAGCTGTACTTCAAATTCAAGTGCATGAAGTTAAAATCTTTAGTTATCAAAGAAGCACATACACGTGCTTATTTTTAGTACCTCAAATTGCTAGGATGGTTCATCACCATAGGAACCTACTGTAACACTTCTTACATATATTAATCTTCTTGTCCTCTGAATTTAGATTTCAAAACAAAGCCATTTCAACATGCTGAGTGACTGAATGAAATGTATTGTAAATCTGTGGCAAGTGATGTTGCAAAACACATTCCAGTGTGACAGTGTAGGTATATTTGGAACAGTTTAGGATGTAATAATGTACGTTAGGTTTAAAAACAACCGTGGATGACGGAAACTGTCTGACGGAAACTGGAAAGTTTAGAAACTCTTCACTAATTTCCACGTGTTGTGAGCATACGTGCTTTGCAGGATAATAAGCTTACTGAAAGACTTAAAAAGAACTGGAATGGGAACTCATTTGATCCAAAAATATCTGGACTGCAGACTGGGTAGGATCTCACTGTTGGAGCTTTGAAATCCGGACTGGAAGGAGCCCCTAAGGCAATGACCAGGCTGCTAAGGTGAGCAAGAGAAGCTAGTCAAGACCTGGGTCAGTAATCCCCTATTCCAACATACACTGGAGGACTGTCTGGATTTAGCAGCTCAGCTGCAGGTGCAGCGTAATCTTGCTAGCCTCACTATGTTAATGGTAATAAATTTAAGCCTGTGTACCTTGGAGGTCTCTATAGCGTGCTTCCATCCACCTGATGCTCTGGGGTTAGCACAGATGGATTCAATTTAAATGCAGAGTGCCTTAAAATGGACTTGAAGGGATAAAGATGGAACTAATGGAAGAGGAATGCTCCACCCTACAAGACTAGCCTCTGGAACTGTACCACTGTCTCCCTCAACTCTCAGCTGGGATTTACATTTTCTAATTTGACTCAGTGAAGCATATCACAACACTGTCCAGAGTGGAAATAAAGGTAGGAAAACTGTTGTGTTATGAAACAGCTTTCTACCCTTCTTCCAAAACCAATCTTCACTACATCAATCTTCAGTTAAGGTCCTGTAGCCAAAAGCAAACTGCCTTAAGCTCTCATACAGACTCTGGGATGCTTAGTGTGGGCACTAAGGGCTGCTGGTGCTGTTGCTTTTGCAGACTTGCAGGCTGTAGGGGATACAAAATACCAACATATTCAAACCGATGCTCAAGTTCTTACGTTTATCTCGTCTCTGTTCTTCTGCAACACTGGCTTTTCTGGGAAGTTCGATTAGATCCAAATACTGATGTCCAGATGCAGAGGTTCCTGAAATCCTTCCACTGTTATAAATAGGTTTTGGATCCAGGCCTAAGTTTAGGCAAGTCTTTACCAAGGGAAAATTGTTAAAAACCTAAGTCACAGATTTTACAGCCATATCAATTATCTAGCTAAGCAGCCATTACTGTCTTACAGACCAGAGAACACTGCTTACCACAAGCTGAAGATTATAGCTCTAACTGCATTTTTATAAGCTATAAAACCGGACATGTGGAAACTATGGAAGGAAATTTCAGTAATTAAAGCATAGGTTTTCCTCATTAACTGCAGAGCATCATTAAAATCTAATGAAAATGTGGCAGAATAATACAGTATTCTGGCTTAACTACAAGGAAATAAATGCAAATGAAAGTTCCATTTTCACATGTTTTTTAGTTTACACTGTAAGACTGAATGCATTTATTGTAGTTTACAATAGAAAAGTTCACTTCTAACATTGTATGAGTCAGCATTTGGAAGTTAGGGTATTAGTGTATAAGAAATTAACATATTAAGGAATGAGGCATACTGAACCAAAAAGTCAAAATCTGTATTAATTAATATTGTTATATTTGGTATGGTAAACTGAATTTCATTGCAGAAAATGAGTATGATAACTGTTGTTGCACCAGCATGATGTAAAACTAAATTTGTCAGTGTAGCAACTTTAATTTTGCATGTCCGAACAAACTGCATCATCATCCCATACTACACAATAGATTTAGACAAAGCAAGAACTTCAAAGCTCTGTAAACACTGTACATTTTAGGACATTAATTTGCCGTGACAATACCTTGCCCTCCCTCAGAAAATTGCTTTGTAAATTCTCAGACAGCAAAACTTCATGGAAATTGGAGCCTGAGAGCCTAACTTCAGCTGATGTGTATCAGCTCTACAGATGTCGAAGGAACATCACCAGTCTCCAGCAATTCTAAATCTTAAAATATTCATTCTAGGCACTACAGGTGGAAACCCTCCCATCTGATTTGAACTCTCTAAAACATCCAGCCCAAAGCTAGGTAGACTTCACTACACACCTCTCAGAGAGAGAAGCTCGGAGGACAGTTCACTCGGTCCAACCCGAAAATGGATGAGACACTGTGCAGACAACCTTTTCCTTAACAGACCTTTGAAGACACCTGAATAACCACTCCTTTCTGAGGGCAAAAGTCAGGTAGGACTTCCACCCAGCACAGCTGACAACACTACCACATTTTCTGCATCTTCCTGGCAACCAAAGGCCTTAAGTTCTAGTTGAGAGATTTCAGCTCAAGATCAATCTCTGCTGCCATTAAATGTTATACTAATTAGGCTGATGGGAATGTCGATGTCCTGGACATCAGCAGAAGGTCCAAACCAATCAAACTCATTTCATTGCAACTCACAGATGCCAATACTTTTCAGAAAATACTGATTAGTGTAGGTTTGACATTAAATTATGTCCTCAGATATAATTTGAAGATGAATTTCCTGTTGATTTCAATAATTAAGTACATTAAAACTGTTTAGCGTTTTGGCAAAGCAAGACTAGAAAGCAGAAAACATTTACCATAATGATAAAAGGCAAATTTCCAAAGTGGCACAATCACCATTTTTGACAACATTCCATTTTTGGTCCAACCACAACCATACTAAGGGAGTAGCATGCAGTTAAGAATTTGTTAGTAAGTTACATGCCGTTACACAGTTCTGTTTCAAAGAAAGCATACAATATATACAAACTCTATCTAAATTGTTACCTCATGTACTCATACCTTCTCTGTGTCAATTCCTTTGGACATGGACCAGGTTGAGACAATGTAATCCATGACTCTTTCACTAAGGCCTTTTGGGACTTGATATAATTTTAGGAAATCTCTCACATTGTTCAGCATTTCATGGTATCGGTTGGTGTTGGCATACATCTGCTGGAAAATTGTGGTGACGTTTCCAAAAATAGTTGCATAAAGAAGAGCTGGAAAAAAAAAAATAAATCACAAAGACAGTTAAAAATAAATATGCATGCTCCAGTAAAATGCCAGTCACTAATGATTTCAAAGACAGAAAAATGGCATCAGCTAACAATAGAAATTCCCAGGTGTATGGCCAGTAGGACAAGAGGAGGACAAGGCAGAGCAGGAAGCACTCCCTCAAAGCCACTCTTGGCATTACCTTCTTTTCTGGTTTGATTCTCCCCTTTCTAAACATGCTATCTTTACTTTCAAGCGTAGCCTGGTGAGTTGTTCTAAAGAATGACATGCTGTATTCAAGGAAATCACACGTTCTGAGTAAGCCTTTCCAATTGATAAGGCACCATATTCAGTACACTACTGCAAGAGCGATGCGGTGAAACTCTGAAAGAGGACGGTTGATATCTGAAGCCTAAATCTGACAAAGCACTCAAGCAAAACCATAAATGTACACCTTTGCTCATGCTATCATGAACGCTGGTGGATTGAAAGATAGTCTTAAAGCCAAGGAAGTTTAAAGCTCCTTATTGAGTCACAATATAATTACCCTTGCAAGGAAGCCCAAAATGACATTCTTCCATTAAGCAACACAGGTTTTGCAGAAAAGAGAATTATTGTGATTTCTCGTAATGCCAATGCATGGCACTTCACTTCTGACTTGATATTATCAAATACACAGAAGTCTGCCTGTCATTTTTAATAATCTTTACTCAGAGGTACTGTATACTGAAGTTCAGCTATGCATTTCCACACTGCATTTAAAACAAAACAAAACAAAACAGAAATGGCAAAGAATAACCCATTGTGAAAGGAAAAATGCTTTCTGTCTCTCAGTGCATAATGTCTTCCCTCAATACAACACGTCTATATCATTCCAGAAAGCTCACTCTGTTTCACAGTTATTTAATATTGTTTATCATCCCTACTCAAAAGATGGCATTTTTAAAGAAACATCATGCTTTCCTAAGGCCTATTTGATAAAAAAAAAGTGTATTTCCATATCGCACTGTGTTTCACTACATTAGTATAAAAATTAGATGCTGGAGTTCATGAGAAATACAACGTTCGCTGTTTCATCACAGTCAAAGGGGTTTTTTGAATCTCAAATGACAAGACTGTACTGAATAAGGTCTTACAGAGAGGAGTGTAGATGAACAAGCTTTCAGTTTTAAAGAGCACAGCAGATGAATACTCTATGTGATTGTGAAAAATAAAGCTCTCTGCAAAGGGCAATTAATTCCCCCCCTCCCCCCCTTGCTTTACTGATCATTGTTTCATGTTTGCTAGCCACTAAAGGGTTTTCCATATCTCTGTGCCCACCTGTATAGATAGCAACACTTCTCTGAGTATATTAACATTAATATCATGAAAAGTTTAGGATGGATGGATGCCCCCTGCATTGGGTTCTTTTCAGCTTTCTTTGCTCCTCTGGATTTTGCAGCTGGACAAGCTTGACAAAGTACCACTTCCAAGTGTGACATTCTTCATCCTTCTGATGTGCTCATTTATCTCAAACTCAGCTCATCAGATATGTGAGCGCAGAACATCTCCCTTTCTCACCTTCTGATGATGCAGTGTTAAAATGACTCCAACCATAAAGGTAAAGAGAAATCAGAACTGGCCCCACAACCCTGCCTTTCTGCATGACTGAAATGTATTAAATTCTGGAGCTATATTCACATTCTGTCATGTGAATAAAAATGGCAGTGCACTCAGTGCAACCTGGCCACGTAAACCCCAGGAAAAGACACAGGCTGATTGAAAACGTGACACAGTGCCCTGTTAGATAAGGAAAAAAAAATACTCAGCTCTGATACTTGCCAGGCTGGAAACAGTTATGTGTGCCATGGCTAAAACAGCTTGTCTGAAGCAAATGGCACATACACCCTCCTCTGCAAAAATAAAAACTCTTTGGCAGGGAATATTTGTAGCAAATGCTCTGCCAGAAGAGAAATTCTAGCTCTGTGTCTCTTAATATAGGATCCTGGAAAGTTGTACCTAAAGAGAGCACGTCTGCTCAAGAAATTAAGGATAGAATAAATAAGATTGCAAAATCTGATGGAAACATTATCCCATAGAACTCCAGTGAGCCAGAATTCACAAGCCTACAAGCCACAGAGCCTGCATACAAGTTACATTTGCTTACAGGCACTCAACTTGAGGATGGGCGCAGCAAACATCACAGAGAGGGGCCGGACCAGGGAGGTGAGCTGGTTCTGCTCCTCAGCTGGCTATTCTCTGCATGGACAGCTGGCAGCCTGAGATGTGTGGGCACTGCTAATGGGCACTCCTCAGCTTATAAGAGCTGAAAGCTCTCTGTAAGAGACCCATAATTTGCAAAGGAACACTTGCTTAATGAGCAAATGTCACAGGGGCAGGTGTGGACACTACCTTTAATAAACAAAGGCAGAGGAGCGTTACTGAAGGCCTTTCACTTTTGGCTGGATTTTAATTATTTTTGGCGGGGAGAATTGGAAGCAAAGATCATTTGCAAGAGGTTTTGAAGCTTATAAAATACTGTGTGACTCCTGAATGCATGAGGATTTAAGCAATCTCTAAAATCACACATACACTTCAATAGTTTTAATTTAGTCTCTCCTTTTGCGAGAAGCTCAGGCAAAAAGGAAGAAATGATGCCACACAGGCTGGAGGGGAAATTACTTTAGCTGATTCCTTGAAATGACTGGCTAGGTCAGACACTATTTATTCATCTTCTCTTGAATGGGTCAGAGACCTCCATAATTCTTCTGTTTCCTACAGACATGCGATGCTCACTTACTTAATTGCTCCATCCAGGTAAATCTCAGTCTTCACAAGATTTCATACCGATCCATTTAAAATAATGATGTGGAAATATTTCTGCTCAGTCCTAAAGATGGATCAACTGTTATCTTAATTTCCATTTTAACTCTTCTGCGTTAAAGAAGTGTTCCCTAAATTATATAGGAGGATCTAAGTGGTACATATTTTTATGTCTAAAATGTGTGTTGCACTACTATACTCATACAGGCATAAAATATTTTTGCATGATTTAGCAACAGTGTTATATAAAACTTTAGGACTGTTTAAAAACAAGGAATTTTCATTAAAAAAAGAAAGAAGACTCAGATTTACTGAAATTATCCCAAAGTATTTCAGATCCCCTGTTATCCTGACTGTATGTTAAACAAATCCAAATAGGAACATCTGCCTTCACGCACTGAAGACTTGACTGAGAAATGAAATTTTCTCTATGGTGTGCTTTATGATGAAGTATTATTTAAGGTTATACAATATACTTTCAAGTCAATTTCAAAGAAAGTGAAGCCTCAGTTCTGGAAAAACATGGATACTTATTTTTGCATGCTGCAGAGGCTAGCTGCACCTTCTTCAAAGAATTTTTGGTATTAGGCACTCTTCTAAGATTATTTGATTAATCTTATAAAAGCTACATCTTTCATTGGAGAGATTAGACATAAATCCAGCTTTGTAGATACTACACATAATTAGATATAAGCTCCAAATACAAATGTGTGAGCTATTTGAAAAGCAGAGCAGTTTTCTGTTACTCCTTTCCTCCACACAGTCACTCAGACTGCAAAACAGCTGCAGGCAGTGCAAGTAGAAAAAAAAAAAAGCAACAACCTCTTTCCTCCTAGTACACCTGCAGTCATATCACTGCAATTTCTGTGCCAAATAAACCAGTGTATTTATCCTCCCATAAGCCACACCAAAGCCTTGCTATGTCCAGCCAAAGACCTGGACTCTGCAGTGAATTTCAGCACTGAACTTCCCATCATAATCACCTGACTGCTAAAATAAGGGGAGTGCCGGATGCAACTGTGTTCAAGAAATTATTGCACCAGCATGAATCCATCACCCATATAGCCGATATGCTCTACATACAGTTCCTGCATCCAGATGTATGTCCCACATTGCCAGCACAGGGAGGTGGTGGTCCTCCATGCACTCATCTGTCTCACACTGCTGTCCACAGAAGGTGTACAGCTCCTCCATGGCTCCAAGTGAGATTCACCCCTGCTCTCCTGACTCAACACTTTCTGACAACATAGTTATGCAAGCTCTAAATTAAGAGGATAATGATAATAATGATAGATTTGTAAAATCTCTGCTTGCACTGATGAGATATTTGACAAGAACTAAATAATTATGTAATTACAAGGATCATCAGTAGTAAACTGTAGGAACTGACACTTGCCTGTTCTTTTCTTTACAGGGGATGCTGTTTGCACAGCTGAGTGGAACAGCTGCTTTGGATGCAGTCACACATTTTGCATACTTTCCTCATAAATTCTTATAAAAACAAGAGCTTTCAACTGCACTTGTGCAGTCACTAATTTTTAACAGCAGCATTTTTGTTTATAAGAGCACTTAGAAAAAGGAAAATATTTAGTTTAGAGCTCTGATGCCTCTTTGCCATGCAAATGTGATGTGCTATATTTTGGGACACAGTTCCAATCCAAGACAAGCCAAATTGGTACAAAGTACACTACCATGGTTTGCTGAGACAGACTTCAATTAAATTAAGGTTTGTGTTTCCCATACCTATTAGCATGTCCAGCTTCCAATCCATAGGAAGCAAGCGACAGTAGCAGAAGTTGGCTAAGGTTCCTTGGCAGCATAGACAGAAAAAAATCCTCCTGAATTTAAGCACCAAGGGCTGCCTAGGTCTGACAGTGCAGCTGTCTAAGCAGCTTGAGGTTACAGCTCATGTACAGTATCTTCCCTGCTCAGCACACCTTACCACAGTCACCCCATGCGATTAGACCACTCTGTGCTGCATAGCCCTGCACGGGTTTAGTGATCTTCTCTTGGCATTCATATGCAATTTCTGGCATTTTCTTTCATCTGAAAAGATTTGCATGTCTTGATTCTGCTTCTTCTTCACTGTATTATTCCATGGAGGTGAGCAAGCAGGCAGACACAGCCTGAAAAACGGTGGTGACTGCACCATAACAGGCAGCAGGGCAAACAGCATAACCTTTGTTAACTGAGCAGCAAAACC